AATAGCAAGTCATTCTCCACCTATGATCTGCAGTTATTAAACAACAAAGTGTTGTATATTCATATCAAGTTTTATGACACAGAAAGCATTATATTTTGCAGGCAGTTTCACACTTTGTCTACCCTGACTATATTGTCACTAGCACCAGCAACAACAATAGGCAGAAATGGAGGCATCCACCACTTTTATCTCCTAAATAAGACAAATGGTCATCCACACAAGGGGACACTCCAGATATGCTGCATCTGTTACAGGTGCTTGAAAGATGTCAGTGCACAAATTGTACAGCTGATTTATCAGGATTAAAGCATTCAAGGTGCACCGAAACACCCTTGTGTAATCACCGAAGGTGACAAGGCGGTTAATAGTCCTGAACTTAGGGAGGCAGTCCATTAGGTCGAGGAATCGTGTCATGAGAACTGCACCACCAGGCTGTCCTGTGTACCCTCGTTCTGTTACTGTGTAATAAAAGGTGAGGAGCAGTCAGGAGGCCTACTAGCTTTCTGTGCATTAACGCAAGCTAATGTGAAGCCGCAAGGAAAGGAATTTCCCAATCATGCCACAAAAAGACGTTCTAAAGGCATTCGTATGTACAAGAATGCATTCTCCTTTCAGGTGAATGCATAACGTGCTCCACCTTCCACATTCCACCGATAGTAAAAGATAAAACAAGAAGAAATCTTTAATTAACTAAAACATCAAGCAGTAGCAGAAGCTGATTAATTTACAGTCGGAGGAGCATTGTGGAAAAAAAGCTAGCCAACACAGCATCTAAATTATTTCAATGGAATGCGTCAAATCCTTGGACATTTGATCGTACAAAAAGAGAGGCAATGATGCAACCACACAAAGGACTTTTAAAATTAATCGTATGAGGAAAGTAAAGAGAGAAGTAAACACGAGGACTGCTTACAGACCATTATTCATATTGAGTCGACTTCACAAAAATATTGAAATACCAAGAGCAATACCTATCCTCGGAATTTATGAAAACAGGTTTCGAAAAAGAGTCGACTGCGATGTTAATAGCGCTAACCAGTCAACTTCCCCATCACTCGATAAGGCGGAAACAAATAGCTTATCTGAAATGTATTAGAGATTTATCACTCAATCCCCTTTTAAGGCTTTGGGGAACGTTTACAAACCGCAGTTAGTCCAAGGATCACCTGCAAATTTCTTAACACAGCAGGTGGAATGACACCTCCACAAAATGAGAAACAGAAAAATTTGTAAAAAACTATCTAAAGGGCTTCCAATGGTTCACTAGTTGCCCCTTATGGGATGTCTTACACTCAAGTATGAGCTCGATAAATTTCAGAACAAATAAATTATTGCATTCGACGAGAAAAAGGCAAACAAACGTACAACAAGAAGACTCGTCATGACTTACTAGAGGCAGATTACTCCACCTCAAGCAGGCAAGATTCAACTGTGGCGAGGTCTGTTCAAATGTGACATCGGGTGTAGTAGTGGCTCCAATGGTTCGACGCAGAGTGCCACTATATTCCGAGTTTGCGTTCAAGGCCGACGACAAAGGCTGTCGTTGTTGCTGCGTCGAAGTAGAAGATAGCGGCCCTGCCTCCTCATCACCAGAACTGTCAACAGTGAAGGCCTCATTTCGCTGTCCACCTGCAGCTATTGTCGCCGAAGATGGTCGGCCCACAGGGGATGTGGCCTCGCCACTCTGGTAGCCCGATGAGGGAGAAGAAGGCAAACACGACTCCGTCCATCGATTCTCCTTGATCAGATGTGCCAGTTCAATTATATACTTTCCTTCCTTGTAGCGCTGACTCACTTCAAACGCG